GCCGCCCCCAGGGTCACAGCTCACAGGCTGGGTGGCTAGCTCCTATGGCACTTTGGGAAGGACAGAGCTCCCAGCTGAGCCAGGGGGTGGCTCCGGCTGCAGCAGTTGGCTACTGAGGCCAGCTCTGCCTCGGCCTCTGGTTTCCGCCTGACCTTAACGGTGTTGCTGGCGAGGAATCCGTTCATGCTCCCTGTGCCGTAGGTGAGGGAGATAGGCTGGTCCAGGAACTGGAAAGTGGAGGACCCCACAGGGTTGAAGGCTTTGTGGTGGACTGAGGATAGAAGGGTTAGCATTAGTTAGGGCTGTCAAGGACCAAGGAAGGGGTGGGCAAGGTGGGGACAGAGACCTAACACTCACCGCAGGCCGGGCTGTGGCAGTAGATGGAGGGCATCCATAGGTCAGTGTAGCCAGTGTCAAAGATGACTTGGAACTCCTGAGGGGGCGTTCCAATGCTGATGGTGCCAATGTATCCCCGCTGCCTGGGTGGGAAGAGGCAATTAGGGCAGGGCTGGCTGCCCCTGATTCCAAGGGTGCCTGCCTGCTTTAGGGGTGACCCTCCTCCTGACCTCACTTTCCAACTGCTCCACCTCATTGCCTCTGCTCAAGTCAGTGCCTTCATCTGAAAAGCTCTTTAGTGTTCTCTGCATCTCTCCAAGTCCTCCTCCTCCAGGCAGCCCTCTTAGATCATCCCCTTTACTTGATGTTTATTTACTCTTTGCCTGTCTCTCTGGCTGGACTATGAGTTCTTGTGAAAGATACTGTTGTTGGATGCTGTCGCGTTGATTCCATCTCATAGTGACCCCACAGGACAGAGTAGAACTGCCCCAGAGGGTTTCCTAGGCTGTAATCTTTATAGAGGCGATCACCAGGCTTTTTCTCCCAAGGAGCCATTGGTGGGTTTGAACCACCAACCTTTCACTTAGCAGATGAGTGCTTAAACACTGTGCCACCAGGGCTCCTTGTAGAACACACTAGGCTTTTTGTTATCGACAATAACCATGATGTTAGTTTATTATAATGTCATGTCCCTTGGGGCTCAGTAACCTTTGATGGATATGGTACTTGGGCTAAAGAGGCTGAACTTCCCCTACCAAGGCTGTCAAACTTGATTTGTGGCTCTGGTGATGTAGGGGTTAAAGTATTTGGCTGCTAACCAAAAGGTCAGCGGTTCAAATCTATCAGCAGGAGAAAGATAAGGCAGTCTGCTTCCAAAAAGATTTACAGCCTTGGAAACCTTATGGGGCAGTTCTCCCCTGTCCTATAGCTTTGCTATGAGTCAGAATCAACTCAGTTGGGGGTGGGATATGCTTTCATTTTATTAGACTCTGCTCATCCTTCACGGTAGCTCCCTTCACTGAAGGATTCGTTAGTTCAGAAAGAACGAAGTCTCTCAAACCAAGCTTCATGACTCACTGTTGCCCAGTGACAAGTTGTCAGTGTAGAAATGGACAGTTACGTAGCACCTTGTCACCACACCCCCACCATGAGGGCAGGATGCCTTCTCCCCTGGGAAGAGGGCTGCAGGGGCCTCCACCCTCAACTTTCTGGGTCCCACCCCCAGGTGAATCTCAATGCCTGGCAGGAGCCCTAGGGGGCGCTCTGGAGCGCTGCCAGCCCACCACACTCACATCCAAGTAGATCCTCAGAGGTTCGTAGGACAAGCTCTGTCTACCCAAGAACTTGTAGATCACAGTGTAGGGGTGGTCCTCCAGGAGCTCTTTCAGCAGGTCTTTTTCCCACAGGCTTTCTCTCAAGGGTTTGATCTTTTTCAGAGGACTCCTTTAACAGAAAACAAATAAGGGACCACAGTCAGATGCTCTGTGTTTCAACGTTACTGCCACACCCAACGTTGGAGCTGCATTTTTATGAGTATTTTCTTACAATCAGATGAAGCCACTCAATGCAATGGAAAGATCATAGTAACGGACCTAGGCTTGAACCAGTTCTGTTGTGTAGTCCTGAGCCAGTCATATGGCTAATGTGAGCCTCAGTTTCCCCTTCTGTAAAAAGGTGGGATAAGAACACTGCCCTCCTTGCAAGCAGCCATCTAGATGCAATGATGGGTCTCTCCTCATCCAGAGCAAAGAAGAATGAAGAAAACCGAAGATTCATGGAAAGAGTTAGTCCTCGTGACTGGTACACCATACGATCCTCAGCCTATATGACTATGAGACCAGAAGAACTAGATGGTGCCCGGCTACCATTGTCAACCACTTGGAGTGGGATCTATGTAGGACACCCTGGATAGAGAGGGAGAACAATGTGGAACAAAACTCAAAAGCATTTGGGGAAAAACAAGGGGGGACCAGGTTTGCTGGTCTGATAGAGCCTGATGGAACCACTGAGCTATGGCCCCTAGCTGCCCTTCAGGTCTGGAATTGAACCCACACCAGTGGCTTCCAGCCAAACAAAAGACAGGCATATGAGTTGAACATTTACCTGAGGGAGATGTGCTCCTTGGAGAGAACAACCATGGGAGAAAGAAGGGCTGTGTATGCACAGGGAGACAGCTCAGGGGGCAGGGGTGCATGGAGGGATGGACACAGGGAAGAGGTGACTGTCGGGAGGAACTGTGAGGGGAGCTGTTGCATTGTGGTGAATTGTGGTCAATGTCATGAGACGAAGTGTATGTGAACTGCTGTGTGGAAAGTGAATTTGCTCTGTAAATTTTCACCCAAATCACACACACAGAAGAAGAACACTGCCTTCATGTAGAGTGTTTAGAGTAGTGAATGAGATGAATGAGACAATACTCCTGCCGTATAGTATTTCTGTGGCAGTTGTCATCAAAGCAGCCCTAAGCAGGGAGACAGAGCGGGACCACAAGCCTCTCACTACAGCAGAGCACTCTGCATGCAGCAGTTGTGACTTGGCTGCGGTCACACTGCTTGGTGGTCGCAGGGCGGGACCTAGAACCAGATCTGATTTCTGTCCAGGACTCAGCCAGAAGGGACGGGTGAGAGAAGCCAGGAAGTGAGAAATCTCAGGGTGGCTGAGGTGGGGAGAGCACTCCAAACTCAAAGCCAAGCTCCCTTCCACTGAGTCGATTCCAACTCACAGCGACCCCTGGTGGGTTTCCGAGGCTATAATCTTTACAGAAGTAGATTGCCCTGTATTCCTTCCACGGAGCAGTTGGTGGATTTGAACCACTGACTTTCTGGGGGTAGCAGTCAAATGCCTTA